GAAACCCAAATCAATAAAACCCTCATTCTTGTTTGGCAATGCGTCTAGCTAACAGTTCTCCAAAGGTAATGACATTTTTGTAAATGTATCTTCGTGTCATTAGGCATCCAGAGTTTTCGATGAGCCAGGAGGCAGTTTTTACTTTCGGTTATCTAGCTTTATGAAGTGCAACATACTCATACAGCTAGATAACCAAAGATAACAACTCGCTTCAATTCCACAAGAGTAATCCCCGGATACCTCCGTGTCTTGAGTGCAAGAATAAATCCAAGTGAAGAAGTTGCTAAAACAATAAAAAACAAGCACGGGACTTCACAACTGTCATTTGTAGTTCTTAAAAGTAGGTATGCTCGCAACAAAAATAAATGACAGTTTCTTCACAGGGTAATGAGATTCAAAACGGAAGCTATAATCCATTTGACATCGGAGCAGTTAACGTTAAAACAATATGAGAGTTGGAGTGAGGGAGCCTGTCGAATAAGAAGCAGTCATCCTCGCACAGGCCATCATTTGCATTGCAAATTGCCTCCCGATCTCACAAAAGGCTCCTTTGGCTCTATTAAATCGTGGCAGCAACGATAGATATCCCACGGAACCAGCAGCGAGATTATACAAAGGAAAATCCGATTCCAGAGGAAAAAAGTGCATACGGAAATAACATCGCGTTTGTTACGGCACTGAATGGAGAGATCTCTCTCTTATTTTTGGCCGAGTGGTGGCAGGTTGTCCGTGGACGGAGGAGATCGGTAATGCCACAGATCCCTGAGAGCTGCTATGAGAGAGACGAGAGGAGGATTGTGTTGCTGCTGCCAGCGGTCTGAGAGAGGGAACAGGGCCACATCTCGAGGAGTGGGGTGCGGGGGGCGGAAGGGGTAAGCGGGGGGGACGGGCTTCCAGTACCAAAATATGGACCAGCCAGAGAAGGTCAAAGGTCTCGGACCACGAGAGTGCAAGGCGATGATGATGATGATGATAATGATGATGTCATTAGAAATCTCCAGAGTGCGTTTGCATCCCTCGTGCAGGTTGAAGCGGCGATCCTTACGCACTTTTGCTGAACGCACAACGTATTTTCAACGACGAGCATGCTTGATGGAAATATTTGAAAGGCAACGCCAATCACCCTCGCTCACGAGGATTTTAGATTTTAGTGCGACTGAATACATGGGAATGCTCGCCGGCGACAAGAGGAATCTTGCGATTGTTCCCTCTGGCATCGACAGTCAACACGCAAAGGTATGTATAGCAGCTGCTCTCTAGACAGAGTAAGGTGGTTTCCATTGCTAGTACATGTGGATGCCCTTATATTCTGACCACTGATATCAGAACCTTATTTTTAAATTGATTACATACTCATGCCTACCTCCTGTCCCGTGAGAACTGTAATTGAGTGCAGTAAGTTGATAACAAACCTATCAATCAAAACGTGATGCTGACTTTCCAGCATCTGTGTGGGTTTCAGAATGTGGGACTCACAGCACAACTCTCTCTCTCTCTGTCTGTGTGTATGCGTGTGATCGTAAAGTTGAAAAACATTCCCAATAAAATGATTTATATCACGTATCTTATACAATGTGTCTTCAATTCATTTCCATTCTGTCATTAACTGTGTAGACTATCTGAAACATCACAAACAGATGTCAGCACACAAGGTGTTCTGTAGGCCTGTAACATACACAAATAATGGAACTCTTGCCTTATAGGTCTCTAATTTTGGCCACATCCAGGTCAAAAGACAGCTATCATTAATCTGATATGATGGTTTTCTGACTGCATTGGTTTAGGTGAATAATGTCATCAACAGTTCATATCTATTAAGACAAATAATAGCTTGATTAAGTTGGAAAACATCTCCCTCATTCAGGCCTTATAGAGCATAGCCAAATACAAATAACAATCTCAGAGCACTGCTAAAATCAGTAAGAGTGAATAAAACATTTGACTCACATGCTCACATGAAGCTAGTCTAAGCATTGTCACATATTATGAATAAAGAAAAAAAATACATTATTAACACACGTGAAAGTTGATTGTCTTTCCTGAAACAACAAAAATATGTCTTCTGTCTAAAATCATAAGGAGGTTTGATCAACATAACAGTTATTAAATTAGAATCAATGACAGCTCACATAACATCTCACAAAAATTTGTGTGATAGAAGATAAAGGTGTGTTTGATGCATGACCTGCAATCAAAATCACTGTCTAAGCAGCACAACATGAATACTTCTGTTCCAAAATGCAAAATTCAATTCCCTTGCGCATATTGACAAGTTGTGAGACTTTGTCACCTTGTATTATCACTGCATGAGAAGTTGGCCTTGAGACAAGTGCTTAGTGTTAGACCAGTTCAAACTATGGTAACATCTATGACATTGTTCCACAATCTAGCTTTAATATATCGAAAATAAACTCCAATGTACAATTGTGAAATTTCTTTCGTCAAAATCTGTAATGCAACTATAGCACTGTATTATTCTTAATGGCCACAAAAAAAGAAAGAAAAAGGAGAAGTGTTTCCAGATGTACTCACTTGAGCAAAGGTTTTTTTATAATTATGCCGAAGTCGACGTGACCAGATGCAACTCCTGCTGTAGGTATGAAGCCGGCGTGCACGGGCAGCTTTCGGTTTAAAATTGCCGCTAATACGCAGTTCATTACGCGTGCCTCAGCGGCTCTGATTCTCTCAAGAGCACAGTCCAAGCGCACGAGAACGACAGCTACCGTATAAGCGAGAGCCAGTGAGAGGGAGAGAGAGAGAGAGGAGGGGTTGAGAAGTTTCCCATAACCTATTTGTCTGCAGCACCAAATAGAAAAGTGCACTGTTGAGCAGAGAAGGTCGGCATGTCCCCCCCCCTTCTCCCCTCATTCCTTTTATTTTTTTCATGAAGGGTGTTCGGGAGGGGGCAGTCCTCTCTGTGAAAGAAAGGACGTGCTCTGAAATTCAAACAAGTTCGCCAGGTCTTTTGTTGGACTTGAACTGAGGAGGCATTGTTCCTCTATTGGCGTGGACTAGCCCCAAGTTCCCAGACCAGGTTACGGATTGACTGCGGTAATGCATTTGCTCCGAGCGCTTCTGCCCAACACGTTTTGACTGACGGAAAGCAATGGCCATCTGACACTGAGAGGACATCATCAGCTCGGGGAAAACTTACACACTGATACGTAACAGCTTGTGAAGAAAAAAAAGAGAGAAAAGTGAAATTGGTACTATTTAAACTCACCATAACCTCACGCAGGCACAGAATAGGGCCTCGTATTACATCTACCTCGTGCCATGAATGCACAGGCCTATAGGCTACACGCAATAATATTTGTAGTCTACGAATCATACAATCAGTTCTCTTTTGGCGCTTCTATAGTTACAATTAGTGCAACTATTTTTTTTAAATAATGCATCTTTTGATAGACTATGCAAATTTGTAATGAAGTAATAAATAATAATATTATGCTTTGTCAATGTCCTATCCGATGATGATCCGAACAAAAAAAAAATGCTGAATACCGTTGCTATAGTTACCTCCTCTGGCGACTGAGATTGCTGTGGGCCAGCATTATATCTGAATACGCGCACTGATTTACTTCTAAGTTTGAAACACATACGTATATAACAAAGAATATTCACTTGTGAGACCTTATGCCAGACCTTTTGCTTTGACATTCAATGATACGGCTTCATTAATTAAGGGGGTCAGACCCACCCCAAAACCTTAATCCATGCACACCACACATATTTATATAACATAATCATGAATTATTATTATAATTATTGTCATTATAGCAAGTTTTTTTCTTTAATGATCAAGTTCAGATTTTGAAACGACATTTCTTAATTTAAGATTCTGACCATTTCTAAATAATGTTGCCTAATTCTTATTCCTTCACTGTTCTCACTCGAGTTTGACTAAAACGAATTCACGTTCAGATTTCACAACGAGGTCACGTCCGATGACGTAGCAAAGCTCTCGGCTACGTGCAGCCATATTTAAATACATCAGGGAAATTAGCGCATCAAATATGCAAATCCCCCAACATAGCCTTTCTTTCAGCGGTCGGAGTAATTTGCCCTCATCGGCTTCGAGGTGGCTCTTTTCGTTTTCGGAAGAATATGTAAGTTGCTGTTTTTTATTGAAAGGAAGAACCTTTCTTGACCGTGAAACTGGACCATATGCAGCAAAGAAGCGGAGACTCATTGCCAGGGAAGTCGCCCATCATGCATAATGAGACTCCTGCTCGGCCATTCTTACATCTTCACCGCAGTTGGTCCTTGCGTGTGTATTATTTGTAATATTGATGCATATTTAAAAGGTATATTTGAATTTCCTTTGCATTGACGGTGGCTGCGTTGTCTTGATTCCATTTAATTGCATGCGCCTTTGGCTCTTCGCGATGCGGATTTTTATTGCATAGGCTACAGCATTGTCTCCATTATTGTTTAATTTCATCCATTTAAAGAAAGTTAAACAATACTTAACCTTTTTTTGTTTCTAATTCCTTCTTTAGGATCCGTCAATAGAAATATTATAAAATACCAGTAGATATTCAAAAGCATTATAAGCGAGCAAAGACATTTGAGCGGCTCAAACAAAAAGGCACAAAGAGCATTGTGTTACATTAGCATATCATTAAGTTAGAGCATCTCTCCTTCAGAAATAGTCGGTTAAAAGATACTAGTTAGCTACTAGACAAAGCAAACATTTGCATGCAATTTGAAGTCGTCTACGAACAAAAATGAGTAAAACAAAATTTCACACATTAACACATTATTATTAGAGAAACAAAAATGAATATTTTGTAAATTATTACATAGTAATTCAAAAATGAGCATCACATCTTTAGTTCTCTTTAGCTGTCTTAACCCACATGGACAAATAGTCTGCTAGTAGTCTAAACAAAGAAAAGCTGAAATCATAAGGCAAATGCTTAGAAAATTAATTGACAAACGAAATCTATTGCTTTGAACTTGCCATTGACACAAACATCATCTACTTCAAAACTTACCGCTAAAGTCATAATTAGGCCTAATATCCACTTCCTATTAATATAATTGCGTTTACTTTCGAGTCCACTCTTTTCCAGAACTTTTTGCGCAATCTTAGGCATCTCTTCTTCATAGTTCCTACTCGTAAAGCGTCTGATCTTCATCTTGTGAACCTTTGCTCAACTGATCTGGCACCCAATAGAAGTGGTCAGACGGGCACACGCGTAAAGATTTACTCCCAATGGGTCAACACACGTGCTGTCCTGTGCTCGCATGTTTTCCGCATTAAACTTCAGACAGCCCTGCTATATCTCTTTATACGAACAGACAATGAGAAAAACAGGACTTACTTGGACTCGGCGACTTCGTATGGTCCGAAGTTGTGTAGCACATGTGTGATCTGCTGCGCCTGTTTGCAACACAGCAGGACCGCGATTACCATACTTATGCATATTAAAAACCTATAGAGAAAATGATTTCAAACTTTCCCACAGCTCCTATAAATATAATGGGAGACAATGACTCACCACAACGTCCTGAATTATAATATAAAGCATATAAAACTGTTTCTGTATAGCCTAATTGGAGAATGAATTCTATTAGCTATCTTCAAATCTTAATGTATTTTCATGATATTCTTATGTTATTTTGCATTAAATGCTAAGCATTTTTTGCCATTGATTGGTCTTCTGGACCAATTAAGCAACCTAATCTATAGTTAGTATAACGTTAATGTAGGGTGCATATTTAGTCATATTTCGACTTGAAAAGATGAAAAGAGATTTCAGGCAATTCCTGAAGACACCCTTAAAGCCTAATCCAAAAGTGTCTTAATAACTTTGAGCATGTTTTCGAGGCTCATGAAATAAAGACGTTTCAGTGAGAGGAATTGGCAATTGTAGGATTTTTGTAGCCTATTCACTGACTCTTTCACACATTTTATAGTCAATAACCGTTAGGCTACTTTAGATTAAACGTAAAAAAACTACTGATTTTTGTTTTTGCGTATCTTGAACAGGATACCTGTAGGCCTATATATACTGTTATTAGATTGAAAATAGAATTACTCTTATTATCGATATAGATAAACAAATACAGTAAAAGGAAAAATAAAGGCAACAAATTGTCTTAAATGGTCACTTATTGCATCAGAAAATAGATCTGTAATCCAGCATCTTTAATTACGCGTGTAAATAACGAGAACGAGCCATATGGCTTATTTCTATTTCTCCTCTCCTTTATCTCTCTCGTGGTTCTTTTCACAATCATTAATATCACATCAGATAGGTTATAAAATATATGGAGAGACTTGTTGTTTAAGTGAGTTAAACGTATGATAGAGAGAGAAAGAGTGGTGGAGAGGGAGTGAGAGAGAGGAGGGAGGCTGGTTTCCAGGTAATTCAATACAAAGACATTCGTGCTTTCTTTCTATTGTTTAGCTGTGCCGAATAATGCAGTGCACACATACGATTAACAGAGAATTGAGATGAAACGGTGGGTATTTACAATGTTTTATAGTGTTAATAAACTTGAGTTTTTCCTAGGCTAGACTACGTCTTTATTTTTCCGTGTAGGACACATAACCTCGTGGCCAGTTCCTCTAAACGCGTAAGACAGCAAATACAATAATAAACTCGATTCTAAATGATATTTCAAGCCATTTCTAAACATTGCCTCAGCCATTCGTTCTCTAGAAATTCATTCGAAGTGAGAAAGGACATTTGAGTCACCGTGATGCATTTCTGTAACACGTGGCGCCATCTAGTGGTGTCATGCTCTATGGCGCACTCCCGCAGAACCAAACGGAACGATTTATCAGGAGACAAGAGCGATAATTCCACCTGAACATACCATTCATACATTCATTAAGTAATCTATCATTTTAATTGTATTTGATTATGCATCAGTTTTCTCTCTCTCGAAGCTTCCATTAATATAAATCTACGAACAAAAGCAAACTGATTGACTGACTACAAAAGCAAATCGTAATCAAATATTGATAAATAAATGCTAAGCTTTACATTATATAGGAGCCTTGCGTTCCTTTCCATTTTTGTAGACACGTTAGACTACACACATTTCTATTTGGGGGAAATAAAATCCCGTAGGACACGCACAATAATACTAGCAGCAACAGTTTTGAAAGCATGTATCTAAATATTGGCTTTATGGTAGATTTCTTTGTTAGTCCGTTATGTTTTTGATCACCCTCAATTATCAGTGATGACTAAGTATTGTCGGTCTTGTTGCAAATGATATCCAGTAGCCTACTGTGCAGTTGACTAAAAAACACGAGGGAAAAGTCGTTTATATTCGTACTTAAGCCAGAGTCCATAACGCAGTTAGGAAATGTGTCAGGAAGCAAAGAGACATCTTCAAGATTAATTGTCTTTTTTTTTTAATGTAATTTAAAAAACATTGTCGCAGCCACTTCTGGCCAATACGCAGGTCACACGCGATATATTATAAATGCGTGCTCAAGATCATGAGCCGTAATGTTTAGCTATTACACGGATTTGTTTTTACATTGTGATAACCGCTTTCAAGCATATATCCTAGTAGTATTAACGCGCAAGGTTTCATTTAAAAAAAATGCCATGTTAATAAAAAACTTTACAGTTACCATGTTCACTTGATGATTGTCAAAAAATCCGTGCATGCCCTCCTTTTCTATAACGCTTATTGACGAGTAAATGCCTTTGAGATATTACGATGCACTTTTTTATTATTGATTTTACTTAGAAAGAAAGAACGAGGGAGAAAGAGAGAAATCATATTTTGGGTCTAAAAATATTCGTCTGGTAGTTTTCGATATTCTCCCCAAAATATCCGCAACGAATGTAATAGTCTATTTATCGATGATGATTACATGTAGACTATCTAATGGATGATAAATACAAAACTAATTAATTAAATGAAAAATAAATTAAAACAAAATAAATATAAAACAAACACTGCTGTTTTCGCTCATTTTTTAGCAGAAAGCTATACCGTCAGAATGAGTTTACTGCAATGATTATAGCTATGCCCATACGAGCTTTTGATTTGATTTGTTTTATCGTGAAAAGTTTCACAGTGTTGGATATATTTAATGGTATTTATGACATTTACACACTTTTTGATAAAATATCTGTTCACTTGTTAATTGTCCATTTGGTTCGCAATCATTAATCGTTATTACAGGATCCAAGATTTCAGTTGCACTAAATTTAGACGGCAAATTCATGCAGTGATTCTCTTTCTTTCGTTTGTTGTGTTCATATATAATGTATTTCTGAAAGATCTGTGAACGTGTCACTCAAAGGAGAGATCATATCTTCTGTGCAACATCTGAAGGAGTGGAAAATAATCTGTTGATTAAACGTTGAAATAATCTCTTTGTTGTGACTTGTCTTTTTGGTCATCACAGGCAAAATACTTACATTTTAGTTTTATATAGGGCTACAATATTTATTTGAATGATGCATATCAAAGTTAGAGAACACTTAGGAGCATCATTTACATACTAGCCTATAGCCTATATGTGACAACTTCATGATGTTCTCAGATCTGGGGAAAAATACAAATGAAATACAAAATTCTCTTTACAGGTGACCAGAATCTATGTGATGAAAGTGGCCTATTTTAAACATTAAAATGTTACATTTTATGTACAGGGCAGGCCAATAGCAAATAATGTCAGCAGACAGCTAGAAATAGCTTAAAATGCACTCATCAGTACAAAAACTGATTAAATTAGGCACATCACACAAATAGCCTACAAAATTGATGTCTAATCAAAGAGTATGAATATGTAGAATTTGTGCAGTTAACGCATTTGACAGACATTAGTTCTGTAATCTCAGTTTCACCGTAGAAGCGGGTGAATGAAATAAATGAAGGCAAAAATCTTTTAACCATTGAACAATGGTGACATCTTGTGGCCAGAAGGATTCATTGCCTCTTCAACAGCCTTTACTGTTTCTACAACAATGTAATAAATAATCTTAGGTCTTACATTTTCCTGAAATCCTTTTACATTGTTTATAAAGGCAATGAATAAACCAACGCACACATTCAAAGGTCGATAGTTTAGACCATAACGCGTACACATGTTACTACTGTTAGCCCTAATACCAGCCTACTTAGCTCTTTGGTTGGAATGGAAGAACAAATATTTGATTAGCATTCTGGAGCTAAACATATTTTCAAGGGATACAAGAAGAAACTCCTGCTCAGGGGTTGTTGTTATCTGAGGGATGTTCAGGTGGTGTGAGCGATGTTACTTGTATGTTCATCAGAAGAACCTCAGATTAAACATGTACTTTCACAATCCTACCACTTCGGAATAACCATGGCGACCAAACAATATGCGGAAGCAAAGCAAACTCCGAATTTGTTCATAACCGTTTTGAAGCTCTTACCTCCCTCAGAAGAACACAAGAAGCTGTACCGATGTCCAACTGTTTTCTTCCTGTTTATGGTATCCTTGCTTTATTCTACTGTGCTTTTTAGGAGGTTTGGCTGTGTAGGACGTTGTTGACAGGTGAGAAATCTGAACGTTTTACACCTTCTAAACTCAAGAAAATGTGCCAAGTCCAGCTTCCGGCTCCATATATGGACTGGCCGCTGTGCACGCGACAGAAAAGCGCCTGAAAGCCTTCTGATTGGCTGAACAAACTGAATAGATATTCGTATGATATCTTGGGGTAGTTATTTCAATGGTATCTTTTAAGAAACAGGATCCAATTTTACAAAACTGTTCTGAGAGGCTGTAATGTGTGAATGTACGATGAATATGATTTAATATTTCATTCAGTCAGACTAAGTGTTAGTTGACTATCACAGCTTCTGAGGTGCATAGCTACAAACCATGAATGGTAAAGCCTTGTGCATATTTGAAGACATATGATGACCATAATAATAATGTACTGATGCTTCTGCGATTAACCATTTTGAGTGGAAACATGTTTGGTTGAGAGATACTGGCTAAATACGTGTTCACACAGATATCTTGCAGTCAAGTTGAGGGACAGAACACAATAAAAATCACACCAGGACGTCTGTGTAACTAAGAAAGCCAGTAACTTTACTGAATTCTCTGCAAAATACAAATACCTTTTTTTTAGTCCCAGCAGGAGAAACAATTTTTATTCCATACATTAATTTTTATACTACATACAGCTGAATCAAGTCCCTTGAGATACAGAGATGTGGTTTAATTTAATGACATCTTGTCTTCAAGTGGCGACAAAGTCCAGCTTGTGCCGCTGAAAGCCTCTTTCTCCTGGTTAGCTGTAGGTTTATACAAGCTACATTTGTTACTACAGAATTTTTCAGCATTTTTTTTTATTTTGATATTTATATACTTAATGGAAACAACACTCGATAGAGAGAGAGAAACAAAAAGGTCAACCAAAAAAAAAAAATCTATTAAAAAAAAGAGAGCGAAAAATAACCGGAGAGTCATATATGGACAGTTGAAATCTATATAACAAACAATGGCATTTTTCACAATACTGTACACACTTGTTAGTTAGAGGAGAATGTTCCCAATTCTCAACAAGACCAACTGGTTGAAAGGTAATCTGAGGCACTGGGAGGATGAGTCAGAGGTACCAGCCACTAGCATGAACAACTTGTGAAGAAACACAATGGTCTCAAACCCCAGAAAGGATAATAGATCGGCAAACATAACATCACTTTTTGTCTTTGGTAGAAAAACAGACTAACATATGTCCTGTCAAAATCACAGAATGCACAATGATAGATATGTATATCAACTGAACAAAACTAGTCACAATCCACTAAATGATGATACAAGCAGTCATGAGGTATCTATGACTGTGCTGTCTCATATTATAAAATCTTCAGTGCAATGTCTATTAATGTGACACTGGAAAATGTTGTGAATACTCCAGACCAAAGTGGATACCTTGTGCTTATTAAAAAAGGGGGCATATTTATGAGTGCGACTTAAATTTGAAAGCATCATTCTAAATGCATTTGCCCCTTAAAGACTCAGTCCGGTGAAGGAAAAAAGAAGGGGAAAAGAAAGACGATTAAACGTGTGCAACTGCACATCCCCACAATGGGGAAAACGTTATGACCATAATTTGTTTATCATATATATTCATATATTAGAAAGCTATACACAAGCATGTTAATTTCACAGATTTTTTTTTTTTTAAAGATTCTTAATATTATTATTCAATATACTTAGAAATACACGTTTAAAAACAAAACTTCTACAAAGAGAGTGAAAGAGAGAAAAAAACATTGAGCAAAGCAAGGGTTCACTGTCTTAGATTCCATGGCTTACGGTTTGAAAAGCCCAAGGTTTCTCATCCTTTTACTATCATTTCTCATATAAGCAAAGCTATCAAAACACATTCTGGCTCTTATAAACTACAAAAAGCCACAAAAATGCTTTGCATTGTATTCCTTTTTGATATGAAAATATAAGCAAGTGTATCATACAATTTTTTTTCTCTTTTTCTTCTTTTAATACTGAACAACAACTGCAAATCCTAGGCTAAAATGTCATCAGACTGAAGTAACATGGCTCTTAATTTAATTTTTCTTTCCTTCAGCAGGAGAGTTTTTTTCTTCCTGAAATTCCCACTCCCCCATAACTTAACCAAAAACGCGGCAAAACAGTGGTAATTCATACATGCACAGCCCCCCCCCCCCCCCCCCCCCCCCCAAATAATGAACGAAAAAATAATCCCTTGACATGAAGCACCACTGAAGCCTCTCAACCTATGATTTACAATCTCTCATAGGGCACTGGTCGCTATAGAAACTCAAGGTCTCCAAGGCAACAGAGGGGTTGGAGGTGTTTTTTCCCTCTTTTGTGGTGCTGGCATGATGACTGAATGATGTGATAGAGATTAAGAAAAGCAGAGGTGGAGATGGAGAGGTCAATAAGACCTGAAAATGAGGCTCTTATGACCACTAGATGTCACTCTGGAGCTTGGCTGTGTAAATGTTCCTTATTCACTAACACGACTTTTACAGGTCAGCATGTGCACTATATTAGCATAAGAACAATAAGCTAAACAACATCTGAGGGCACGCTATTCGTTTTTTATGCACATGAGGATGACAAATGCCCTTCGGGTCTATTACCCCGTGTCACGGGTTTGAGTGACAGTGTCACTTACCAATAGAAGGTCAATATCCTCAGACTGATGGCAGTAAAGGGAGGGTGATAAATCCAGAATTAGTGAAGCTGATGGCCGCCTATGAGACTATGTGAACCTACAGGTGAGTACTTTGCTAAACAACACCAAAGCTGAGGAGACTGATTATGAAGGACTCTAACCTATTTTTTTTAGTTTATGAAACTACTGGAGAGGAAATGACAAGAAAGGAGAGGAGAACCACGGACGATTATGAAGGAACTGAGGTGCATGGGTTGTATCATCAGGGCTCTTAGAAAGATTTAATGCAACACACTGTGATGGACTCACAATAGAGGGCATGTTGTTCTTGGCCCCGGGTGGGATGAGAACTCGTAGGTCAGGTTTACGGCTGTTCATCCCCAGGTTCACTGGTGGAGGGGACTTGGCCTGCATGCTCTTGTTCATGCCTCCGGAGGACACCAGAAGTCCTGGAGAGTTACGGTGGTTTCCATAGCCATTTCCTAATGCGAGACAGAAAGGGAGGGAAAAAGGCGTTAAGACACAAGAGAACCAAATTAAGTACATCAGACTTTCACCATGCCACACAATTTAAGCAAGCTTCATTTGACTCTCTCGCCTACACCAGAATGCACCATTTCCACCGCCATCTACTGTGAAGCCTCTGTTCAAGCCTGTCTGCAGCTCTCCACACGGTTCCAGTGAGCCTTCACCACATGCAGCCATTAAACACTGTTTTATCCGTTCTGGAGTATTGCAACCATCTTTCACCAAGAATGTGCTCTTTCAATTCGATGTTTCCACACCATTTCACACAACTTTCACCTCCACCACCACATTTGTACCAAGCACTTGGTAAACACACCCTCTCATTCACCCTCCATCAAACCAAACCAGACTAATTCAGCCTCCCCAAATCACCCCATCACGCTCGGATGATTTTCACTCATGAATCATTATATGTCATTATGATTCAAAATATGTTTTTTGTCGGCCTCTGGGTAAAAAGATCCAAGTTCCCAGTTCAACTGATTATCAAGGATAAGCTACGTAATTTTCGTGAAATTCTTGAAAGGTAGGACAAAATGTTTTAAAAACAGCAACATTTTCACTTTGAAATTAAAATGAGATACCATTACAGTATTTTATTTATCCAAATTATTACATTATCACTCATTAGATGTCAAATCTGTAATAACTCAATACTTCATATAGATTAAAAATATATGAATCGTATTAATCTTATACTCAGAAATGTAAAACAAAACAAAAAACAATCACTGGTAAGATTAATGGTTTAATTCATTATTATTATTCATTATTTGTTATTAATTACGCTAATATTTTCTATAAAGTATAAAAAATGTAACTTGGAGAAAAATATGATTTAAGTCTAGTCTCTCTAAAGAGTGCAAAGGTCTATGTGCAGCTAAATGTAAAGAGGATGAGGTGTTTGGTCTTAAGCTAAATCGAATTCATGACAGATTGCTTGAGAATGTTTCTGTTTCTGAGCAAACTGTTGCAGCATCACGTCTCTTTAAAAAAGTTGAGAGATGAAAATGTGGAGTGTGGGTAGATGAAGAGAAAGAGAGAGGAGAGAGATGAGGCTCATTTGTTTCTCTCGTGGTTTTGCGGTAAGGAGGCAGGTGTTTGATGAATAGAGACAGGTGGCATTGGTTGGTGCTTTAAGAGCTAGTGTCAAATGAGAGCAAAACAGTAAAAGCTTCATCAGGAAGCTCATTAAAAAACAATCATTTAAAAAATGTTATTTTTTGACAAGAACATTGATGTTTTTGTTCAAACACTTCATGTTAGACAAATTTATTTCCTTATTTGGAATGAATAAAAATACTTTAAATCCATTACATTTAATTTACAAGTTACATGTGGAAAATTTGTATGTACAATATGAGGGAGAAAATGGATTTTGAATGATATTCCAGTCAGTTCCGGACCCTTTATTTCAACTGTAAAGGATCACTCCAAGTCCCATCTGGTCTGGAGCACAATGGGAAGGTTGCCACTATCACATCTCATTTCCCAAAGCAGCAGTCTCTATAAATGACATAAAATCCATGGCCCTTAAGTATTGACAGTGGAGGCCATCATTTGGCAATCAATGATAAATACATGTGTGCACATGTGGCTTTCACTTATGACTACCAGAAGTGGATCAGACAAGCAATCTTTATTCCTCATCCACAATTGCTAACCCGACTTCATCATCTCCAAAGAACCAGAGGAGTACATTATACTGGAAACATACAGAGTACAGAGTCTTTGTTTCAATCCAAATCCCTCTTTTTTTTTTTTTTGCTTTCGAAGGGGAAAATGTGGAGTGCTGCATGGCTTTTGCCACTTAAAAGAGGGTTAGGAATTATACGGTAGACATAACTGAATTTCCCAATCATACACTCGAGAGGAAAACTAGATGCAGATGTCGTCCTCGGCAATTTCGCCATGGTGATTTTTCTTTAATTTGAAGGCGATGGTTTTTGTTGTTTTCAAATGAGAAGTCTTGAAAGCGCAATTTGCACGATTCAAGGAAAATAAGGAGGACATGAGTTGGGAACCAGGAAGAGTAACTGTGATTGTGAGAGATGTTGTGAGCGGGTGGATGTTAGTGCCATGTGCACTGATACATTTCCTGTCTCCTCATACATAGTGAAGTACAGGGCTCGAAAAACAGCTGGCTGGAGCTCTTCTCTAAACACTTAAACAGCTACACTTCATTGTTCACAGTGGAGATGAGGAAATAACACCGCATTTGATCCCATGCATTTGATAAAAATATATTCCCACACTTAAATTAATATTAGGGGTTCAGTACAAGTTGAGCTCAATCCACAGCACTTGTGGCATAATGTTGATAAACTTTTTTTCTCTCTAAAATACTACTACTACTACTAATAATAATAATATAAAAAGTAGTAATTATAAAAATCTTCCCCTAGTGAAAGTAGGGGAAATTTTAAATGAACTAAAAGGCATTTTAAATACATTTATTTCATGCTAAGTATATTACAAATGCATTTACATATGTATGTACTTAATAAATACCCAGCAGTTGTACTTTTACATTTGGAACAACTAATTTTGCACTTAACATACTTCAATTGTGCGGAAGTAGTGCTGAAGTCCAACTAAAGATATACTGAAGTATATTTGATTGTCCTAAAGTGGAACTATTGCAAGTATACTTTAAATATCTTGTATTTAAAGACTGATATTATTCAAAGATCATACAATCCTCATTAACAGTGACATTAAAACACATGTTAGGTTTAATATTAAGAAATATGCATTGTGCAAAAGTAGTACTCCAAATACAGTTTAATTATTATTTAATATCAGTAAGTCTCAAGCAATATGTCACTAAATATGTGAACAGATTTGAACTATACTTAGTATGAAATAAATGCATTTTAAATATATAACTTTTTTTTTACCAGGGTCATTACAGTGAGAAACTTACAATGGAAATAACTGGGGCCAATTTGTAAACATTAAAATCCTAAATATGTGAACAGATTTGAACTATACTTAGTATGAAATAAATGCATTTTAAATATATAACTTTTTTTACCAGGGTCATTACAGTGAGAAACTTACAATGGAAATAACTGGGGCCAATTTGTAAACATTAAAATAACTTTTTATAGTATAGCCACAAGACAATAACAATATGCATGTTGACATGATTATAGTGAGAAAAAACTGGCTTACTAAAACTTGGTCAATACACAGTTTTAACAGATTAATGAATGTTCGTGCTTTTATAAAATTATATGCTTAACATATCTGCTTTTAAATCCTTAAAAAATCTGTTTCCATTTACTTCAATTATAAGTGTCTAACCTTAATTTCGATATGTGTATACTTATGTCTTGTACTGAAATCTTCATTTAAGGTCTTTCAACAAATCGGGCCATATATAAGGTTCAGTGTATATCTGTGCATTTTGAACTTTCTTAGCTTTAAGCCATTTGACAAATGCACCGTCATTAATGATCAGCAACACCAAGCAAGAGTTAAAGTGACCCGTCGAGAGCAGACAGACGGAGATGACGAGTTCAACTAAGGACGTGTGCTAGACACCACTGATGAATGAGCCTCGGCGACATGATTTATGGATCAGAAGCAGCACAGCTGGGATTCAGGTGGCCAATAAGTAGCACAAAACTAATTTCTCTCATGCTATTCACTGACTTTTACAGTTGTTTGTTCTAGAAGGCATCCGAGAGCCAAAACCAGTGCGCTAGGCCACAACAGTGTCCATCTTCTGACGCACACCGTTTCCCTCGCAAAAGCCACACAAGTCTCTTCCCTGTGCGCTTGTGGCCCAGCTATTGCCCTCACAATGGGGAAGTACTAAAATTACAGCTGCCCAGAAACGAGCGGTCCCCTCCTCACACACAAATCGCCTGATGTGTACACATGATAAAGAAGGCGATTCTATTTCTGGGGCTCCGCAGAGGAGGCTTAACTGTAAATGGGCTTGGCCTAAGTTTCCACTCAGCAAGCTGACCGGCTAGTGTGGTTAAGTACATGCTCGCTTTCCCTGCGAGAAGGAACGTCTCTGATTTCTTGTTGTGGTGTAACGGCCTCATTTAATCCTGTTGTCCGTGTTTGTTGATTCGGTGTTGAGGTTTCAGGCCAGCCCTGGTTCTAGCAACTGAAAGAATTTCAGAGGTGTGCTAGGAGCAGATGCCCGGAAACAGTAAATTAACAATAAAAAAACCACAAAGAAAAACTCTGCTATGAGACTCCACCTAAGAGGTAAAAAAAGACTGGACGCTTCACTTTCTCATGTGTTGGCTGACCTCTCCGTATCTCATAGCACAACCCTACGTGTCACAGATACATAAATACACGTGGCAGAGGATTTGTGGTCGTCTGAGAATGCCAGGGTGCCAGCCGAACAAATAACTGTCTGTGACAAACATCATACCATGACACACTTTTTCTGCAACATGCTGGCAAAACAACAGTACATAGCGTAACTTGGGGAAAAAAATCAATCAAATATATTAAATATATATACAGACACACTACTATTCAATTTTTTTCTTTAATGTTTATGCCTTTTATGTCCACCAAGGCTGAATGTATTTGATAAAAAAAGTGAATAATATTACAATCTAAAATAACTGTTTTCTTTTTATCTATATTTTAAAATGTAACTTATTCCTGTGATGGCACAGCTGAAGTCTTCAGTGTCACGTGATCTTTCAGAAATCATACTAATAATATGCTGATTCGGTGCTAAAGTAAAATTTCGTATTATTATCAATGTTGCAAAACAGTTGCTTTTTATTTTGTGGAAATGATGATACATTTTTGTCAGGAATCTTTGATCATTAGAAAGTTCAAAAGACGGCATTTATTTGAAACATCTTTTTTTTTTTTTTACTTTTCTCCTTTGATTAATGTAATGCATTCTTGCTGAATAAATGTATTCAGTTTTTATACTCTTGTGAATAGCATTAAGAATCAAGAGGTAACTAAGGGAGAAAGGAAAAAAGACTTGACTACTCTCTATTAGACCATTCAAACTGAGGCCATTTGTGTCGTTTGACTCTCTTCGACTCTTGTTTCCAGAGTTGTGGCCTACATCAACTCCACACTGTGCCCTGTGTTAGCCTGTAGTCGGCACAATGGCTATATTTGATGGCTGTAGACCTTGAATGTGGACAGCAGGGTCACACTAACAAGTGGTACTTTTGTGCATTCGAGACAGTGAGGAGAGGGGGTCAGTTGACAGACCTCACCCTTACCCTCATACAATAGACCCCAGGCCAGACAAGGTTACCCAGCTGTGTCCCAGCAACCCAAAAGCCAAGTTCAAAACATCTACTGTCCTGCTTTAAATATCCAAGCCATGCTTCTGTAGTGACCACTGGTTAGTGGTTAAGACCGGCAGAGCAGCACACACATGCAGACGCAAACAGATGCGCAGACACGCATACACAGACGTCCACATAGACTCGGAGGCAACCACAAGACAAAGCACCACTGCGACTGTACAGCTATCCCTTTCAAGTGGATTGTTCTTGTATACATAAACTGATATACAAACGTTTCAAAAGCACTGGGCTACTAGATGGTAACATATTCTAAGTATGTTTCACTCCAAACATACGATAGTCGTTATCCTACAAAAGACATACAGCAGAAGTACAGGGTGAGAGGAGAGTTGTGTGCTATCATGTTCAGACAAGAGCTTAAGCAAACAAACAGAGGACACGGGTCAAACAGTGCAGCATCTGGTTAATGCCAATATGCTTGTTTACCTCTTTACTAATAAAAAACTCTGATATTTACAAAGCTTATAGGGACAAACTATATTAAAGAGCACACAAGAAGACTGTGCGCAGGTGATTTCCCCAAATCCGACAAATTCAGCAAGAATATTGTTTAAAGCAAATACTAAAAGTTTTAGGGTCATTAAGATTTTTTTTCGTAAGGAGTTTTAACTGAGCAAGGATGCATTCAATTGCATCCTTATTATGCAACTATGGTTTCCACAAACAAATATGATGTGTAAGTACCTGCAGTACAACTGTTTTGATCATTAATAATAATATGAAATCAGTATATTTGAGTGATTTCTGAAGGATCATGTGACACTGAAGACTGGAGTAATGGCTGCTGGAAATTCAGCTTTGTGGTCATAGGAATAAATTATTAAATATATTAAATTTGAAAATGAATATATTTTACACTTTTAAAATAGAAAACAATATATATAATATATAATATGTTAATATATTAATTAATATAGAAAACAGCTATTTTATAAAATTATAATACATTTATTTTTAAATTGTAATAATATTTCACAATGATACACTTTTTACTGTATTTTTGATCAAATAAATGCAGCATCAAAAACACAAGAGACTTTCAGAAACATAAAAAATCTTACCAACCCTAAACTTTTGAAGGTATTGTATATGCTACTTGATACACACATTAGAACAAAAACAATAATGTACAGTAATTATTTTGCAGGAATTGCAGTGAAAAAATATTTTCAGTTACTGTGGCTATTGGGTTTGAACCAATCCAGTTCAGCCTAGGTCACTTAATGACTGAAGTCTGCAAAGAAATGCCTGTGAATACAAGCCCAGCTTATACAAACACAACGTTCTGCTGAAAATTTGCGAGGCTGGTTAGAGCTAGAAGAGAATTTGTGCAGTTATTGGCTGAGTAAAAGTTGTGATGGAGAGGGAACATACTGTAGTATATGGGGATGCCGTCCTTACCAGCACTGGTGCCCGCGCCAGTGGAGAGATCAGTGCCCATCAGACCACCTAGCATGGGAAGAGAAAGACAGAAAGAGAGAGATTTCAGTCACTTCACTGCAACTGACATCCACATCCTACCACAAAATCTTCCTTCTTAAAACTGTCAGGTCATTTATTCAACTCCCTCAAGCTACAGAGATCTTCCTCCCTCCCAGCGCGTTTAAGAGCGATGGAGACCGAAAGACAAATATAAGGTGACAGAGATGTGTGTGTGTGTCTGAGAAGAACAAAACACTGTCCTTTTCCACCTCAGCACACTTTTCTAAGGGGGAAGCGATGTGGCCAGTGGAGCTCGGCCGCGGTGTCCAAGAAAAATTACACATTTTTATTTTTAAGCATGCAGGGGAGCAAGTGTGGTCAGAGGCATGCGGGCTGGGCCAAAACTCATATTTAGCTAAGCGCTCCTGGAATACAGAGCTGATTGCATCAGGAGAAAGCAGTTTTAATGACAGAGCTGTGGGTGAGAGACTCTGTCTAATGAAGCAAGACAACGCAACAATAACAAACGGCCAATGGGATCGTGCTCTATGAACATCGGTCATGGGGAATTACAGACGAAAAGACAAATATAAAGGAATTATGCTGATTATTAAATTAAATATTAGTAATAGATAAGTAAATTTTTTTTTAAATTTAAAGTCAGCACGGAAGAGAAATTTTATTTTTAATACTATTTTAAAATAGTATATTTTTTCTTATCTGAAAAAAGTGTAGAAACGATTTTCACACACATTTTTAGTAAACAATTAAAAAATTTATTTTTTTTAACAATCTTTGTTTTATTTACAGCTTTTTCAGTGTTGGTTACATCAGCAAAATAGAAAAGTTGTTTCAGTGCCAACTGAAAGTTATTATATTTTAAAGAAACATTTTCTTTTTCTAGACAAACTGTATCCTATGTGTTTTTACCTGCACTAGGTGGTCTGTGTGTGACCCCGGGTGACATGCTGTTTCTCTGCAGGCCGTGGTGGGCCAGTGGAAGCAGGTTATGATTGCCTGGGTATATCTGGTTATTCACGGGGATGGGCATCTCGTAGGTGGAAGAGGGAACGGCCTGGTTGGAGACAGAAGCAGTACATACACAATTAAGATAATTAGTAATATAAACTACAATAATAATGGTAAAACAAAGAGTTAAACACATTGAATACAAAGGAGAAGTGAAAAAAATGAGACATTTTGACAAATATGTTGCATGCAATGGCTTCAATCCTTAGAGCTCCTGAGAAGTATTTCAGTCCATTTTCTCTGTTATCTACCATAAATGAACACGCCGAGATGACTCTAAAGTCTCTAAATCTCTGTAAATCCTCTTGTTCGCATCACTCCAAAAGATACAGGCTTAACCTTGAAGAGACATCTTCCTCCTTCATATGATGTTTTAAGGACAAAATAGCCCCTAATTGTAGCCATGTGTCCTGAGGGTCTGTAAGTGCTCATCTGGGAAAGCATTAATTGACAGAAACCAAAGAGGAGCCTCTCCCTCTTTCTCACTCTTTCATTCTTCATTAACTCACAAGGCCACAGCAATCATGGCTTGAGGCAGCCAAATATTTTCTCTCCGCAGTGAAGGTCTTGGTGGGCACTGCTTCACTTTCGTTAGGTGTTCATTTTTCCGTCTTTACCCTCATGTTCTCTTTGGAGTCTCAGAGACCCCAAGGCCGTTTTAATAGCTTGAAAAATTATTAGTCTGATGCTTCAAGACTTCTAATCTTATGAGAACTGAGTATAAACCAAATTCTAATCTGATAACACCAACCATTTATTGTATTTTTGCTGGAGTAAAAGTCAAATATGTTATTAGATCACATTTCTTAAAAAATGCATGTCTAGATTCTGAAAAAAACAGAAGGATACTGTTTCAATAATGCCAAATATAAAACAATACTTTTTTAACACAATTACATGATTTAGTCAATCTAAACAGAACATGAAAGAATCTTTAGTATTGTTGTGCAACTATCCTAGACTGCAGCCTTTCTTCTTTCTTGTGTCTTTATTTTTTTTTCTATGAAAAAGCTTTCCATATCTTTATGTGTACGTGAGCCTTGGCATCTTCTGCATGGTGCCACTCTTCCTCTTTGTAATACTGGGAAAATATAACTCAGTCACTGTGACCACTATCTCACCACCATCGTTTACCACTCCACCCAACCCAACCTAACCCTAACCAAAAAAACAAAAAACACTGTAACTTACTGAACAAATCTTTAAACACACACACACAAACACACACACACACACACACACACACACACATCAGTATTTTGCTTTGTTTTCGAAAAAATCGAAACACCCTCAAAATCATGCATCAAGATCATCTGGAAACAATCATTTATTTCATACAGCATTGGTAGATAGATAGATAGATAGATAGATAGATAGATAGATAGATAGATAGATAGATGACACACATGAGTAGTTAGGAAAGCACATGCATCTTAAAGGTCTACAAATAAATTAGTTTGAATCAATCAGGCTGTTGGTTCAGACATGTAATGAAGAGTATCTATTTCTGAACACCAATCAGTAAAAGGCCTTCCAACGCACAAAAAAAAAACACTCTGGAGGTTATTATGACTGTATTTCTTACAGTAATTGTCATCGTGCTTCTTCTCGTTTTAGTCATATCTCAGATGTGCAATTATCTCCCATGCATCCATTACAAATGCTAGCTATACTACATCTGCATGAGTTCTATATATTGTACATATGGTTAAATCAAGATTAGAATTAATTGCTTTGTTTCTTCAAATATGTTTGTTAGCTTTGCTAGCTTTTTCATAGAGTTGTTAGTTTTTCCGCCTCTCCACTCTTCACTGTACTTACAGGTATCGTCTGAGTCTTGATCATTAGATCAAACTCTTCGTTAATCTGTTTGTATTTCTCCTCCATGCACGGAGTGAGAGCGAGAGCAGACTCGAGCTCCAGGCTCTCGCCGCCTTTGTTCTCCTTCTTGCTCAACGCCTGAAGGCCCGTGCGGGGCGAACAGTGAGCCAGAGCACACGGAGAGAGAAAAAAAAAGAGAAAGAGAAGGAAGAATGAGAGGGCTTGTCTGAGATGCAGGTACTTACACATATCCTCTGTCTGCTGATCATGTGCAGATCAATGTCTTCGTTGATTTTACGATACTTGTCCTCTGACTCTGGGCTATGGCCCACCGAGTCGTCTGCGTCGGGGTCTGGGCTGTCACAGCCATTTAGACCCTTCTTTCTCAGGGTCTGTAAATACAAGTTTGCACACAGTTCAATTACCAACCACCATGAAGACCCTCAGGTGGGTTTCATACAAGTTGTATTTAGACAGGATTAAAAAATGTTCATTCTTCATAAAAAAGAAAATCATTCATGTAGAGCCCACTTCAGAATTTAGGGGAAACTATCTCAAAATAATTATGTATAGTTATATACAGTATCATTGAAATGTTTGAGGTCAGAAGATATTAGAAAATATTAAATAGCACAACTGTTTGTAAAATTGATGATAACATTCCATCCTAGGAATATATTACATTTTAAAATATATTTGAAAAGAAAATGGTTATTTTAAATTGTAACAATATTTCACAATATTACTGTTTATATTATATCAAATAAATGCCGCCTGGTGAGCATTAAAAACTTCTTCCAACAATATTTTACCAAAATATTCTTTCAAAAATATTGTATTCCTTTTATTCCCCAACCTCAAACTTTTCAATGGTAAAATATATATTTAATATAATAATAATACAATATTTTAATTGTATTCTCTCACCAACCCCACACTTCTGAATGGTAAAGTATGCTCAGTTATACTCGATTAATAAAAATATGAATCAACTTGTGTTTGAGAACCACTAGTGCTGAATCTTTAAAAGGGTTGTTAATAAAGAAATTCAAGCTGATGGTTTATTTTCCAGAATTATTTCATGTCTTATTTGTTTTTAGATTATTTGCTTAAGGTCATGTTATTTATATGTACAATAATCATACATATTCCTCGTAAGCCATTTTAAAGGAAGTTGTTGAGAGACAACAGGATACACATACAGGAAGGGCCAACCTAAAATGTAAACGTTAGTATTTAACCAGATCTGGGTACCAAAGAGAAAAAAAATTCTAAATGTGATTTCAGCAGAGAGGAACGGCCCTACTGCTACTGACCACAGCACAGAGACGCCATAGAGCCGGACCAAGGAGATTAACAGAGAGACACCCAGTGAACCTAAAATGATACAAGGATTCTTTTGATATAACCATTAAGAATATAAACCAAAAATGTGTGATGAAGCTGAAAGGTTGTGCTATGCTTAAGCAAACAAGCTAGTGTAACAGTAAAAAGAATTGTGGGCTCTCCTGATATATTAAAGCAGCAGTTTCTCTCTCTGCCACCTGATGGCCACCTTCTAGTAGGAATGAGATCTTCCTCTCACAGTAGAGTCAATCTATGAGTGAGTGTCCACCAATTGGGAAATGTTACTTTAATATTAACACTTAAAAAAAGAAAACTGCCACATCTTAAATTACTCATAATTTAATATAAGCTATTGTGCTAATTGAATGTAGTTAAAGCTTCTACCGTTCTAGATGATATAAAATTAGCAGAAATTCTGTGAGGGACACAGTGTTTTTGTGAAAATAAGAAAAGAAGAAATAAAAACACGAGTCTTCAACTGTCATTATCTGCACGAGGTTCTCGAGGAGTCTTGCATCTCATCGAGATGTTCCACTGGATCAACTGTCTTTAAGTGTGGCGGGATATTAACCACCAGCTAACATATGTGCAGCTCACGCTCTCACACACAGTCCTTCTCTGCCTTCATCTGCCTGTCTGCATCAATCACACGATAATTAATTTACTCTGCTGACATGAGGGCTCGATGAAGACGGGTTTCTCATCCTCTTTTCTTTGCTATGACATGCTTCTATTAGGTGTTGTGGGATTGTGTGGAGAGCGCAATGTGTGATGAGAGCTTTTTTTTATTCCTTTATACATATTGAGCTGATCAAATGCTTTGAAGACGAGTCCCGGCATGGCTGTTTTGTGAGACTGAAACAGAAAATGATGGAAAATTTGAGATATGGTGTTTCAGTCAGTAAAAAAGATAGAGTAAACAACTACCGTTTTTCTGCATGATTAATTCAATTTCTTACTTTACCATTTCTTTGTAATTGTTTGTGAAAATTACTAGCGATTTCTGACTTCAAATTAAATTAGTTACTTTATTTTTTGCCTCAAATGACAGTTTGCCCCCTAACTAGCAGAACTCAGGTACTGCCTCGGCAACGGGGTGGAGGGAAGATTACGGTGTAGAGCGGCCAGTGTCGATCTGAGGCAGAGGAGTACGAAGAGGCAGAGTAGACTGGAGTGTGCTGATGGGAGGGAATGCTGGCTGAGCGAGCACTCAAGCAGGGATTGGCAGTTTAAGACCCAGCATGCAACCGCTGTGAACCCCCTAAAGGTCCACCGCTATGCCACTCATTCCAGATATGTGCACCTGTCAGTGTATCCACACCTGTCACCAGCCCTCTCTCTCTCTCTCTCTCTCTCTCTCTCTCTCTCTCTCTCTCTCTCTCACACACACACACACATGCATATTCTGCTGTAGGGAGATAGAGTTAGCCAATCACAGCAAGTATGCTGAAGATGGCCATAAATGGCTGAACAAACACCCATTCCTCAGAGAAAAAGAGAAATACTCAGATGTTGCTCTTTCATAGCTCAGGAGGTTTGGTGGAGGTCTCAGTTATACATCTTTGAAGCATCATATTTTTCTCAGGTTCACTTAAATTAAAAATAGAGTGGGACATACAGTAAGAATACAGAGCAATACTATTAATGATCACAGATAACAACGGATTATGTGGCGTCTTGGCAAATATGTGCATATTTTTGATTACCAGGGTCCTTTTCTTAGTAGAAGTAGATTTAAGCAAAAGTCTCTATTTGAACTTAATTTCATCTCATTGCTGAGAAAAGAAAACTGAGACTTTAAAAAGATCTAATTTAAAAATTAATAAATTATGTAAACAATGAATACATTTAGTTTATATATTAAAACAAGTCATAATAATAATAAATGTTGTAATAATATAATGTACATTTTATAAATAAAATAATACAATTTAATGTTTAATAATTTGTTTAACTCTTGGACAATAATCTTTCAAGGTCAGCCACTGACAACAGATCCATTTGTTCCACATCTGGTTACAAGGGTCTGCTTCTAGGAAGAAGTATGAGATTTAAGCAAAAGTCTCTATTTGAACTCCATTTAATGACATTGCTTTCTAGGAGAAACAATTGAGATTTTTAAGAGATCCCATTAGTAATCTTTCTTTCCTATGGGTTTTATAATGACTCACTCATAATCACTCCCATTTTGGAAGTGAGGCAAAACGCACAGCCAATGCAGCTGATTTCCCAGGAAGCAACAACAACATTAATGCTTCCAGTTTGCCAATCTAAAAATAAGATACAGTAGACAACAAATACCCTGTACTTGGACCAAGCAGCGAGAACATTCTAACGCCTTAATAGCTCCGCAAGATGAAAGCTGTGTGATCGTCCTTCCAAAACATTATCGATGAGGAGTAATCAATCTAACAAAGTGGAAAATGGCCAGGCGGGGGTGAGGGGGCTTGATAAAAAGCTAAAATGCACAGAGATAGTCAATAGAGAGCTGTGAAGGGATGAGCGGCTGGAGGCTTCTGAGAATCAAGAATCAGTGGAGACAAGGAAGGGAAAAGAGTGGGAAGGAATGTCTCCTTCAATGGTGTGCTCCTAATTAAACTGAAACCTTCATACTTCTCATCCCTCCTGGCTCCTTCTGTCAGACCTCCTCTCCAGGCTGAAGCCTAAATAATGGACTGATATCAACTATGGTCTTGCAATTCCAGCTGTAATCAAGCCAGAGAAACTCTAGCTCGAGTAGCCATAGACGATTCCCAACTGTCTTCACTACTGATCATTTTACTCTGGCCTCTTTTTAAAATCTGAACAGTGTCCAGTGCTCATTTAGACATCTAGTTAAAACCAGGCCAGATTGATGAGGGAGTCTGAACCAGACAGACCTCATGGTTTATTTTCAAGAGGATTTCGGTTGTGGAATAGAGCTGACAGGTTTGCATGAAGGTCCAGAGAAAGTCCCACATTCAATATACTCTGCTTATCGAGACCAGGAGATAGGAGGACAGACAAGCTTTTTCATATGATTTGACAACAAATACAAAAAAATCAAACAGCTTCTTTCTGTTCTTTCCTGAATTCAAGCTGTCTTCTGTGTAGGGCTGCACAATGAATCATATTTTATTTGTGATGGAGAATTTCTGCTTATCTCGATTAATTAAGCATAATTGTCTTGCGATAATTGGTCACTGGTTATGTATCCTTAAAACATTTTTTTTTCCATTTGACATTTACTTTGTCTTGCATTGGTAACAAGCCAAACATGAATCTCAACAAAAAATTTTTTTTTGTGATTGTAGTTGCTGAATCAATGCACTTATGAAACCTCTGTGCTACAGTGCAAAGTCTTCCTATTTGTTTTAATAGAAAAATGTAGTGATGTCAAATGATTAATCGCGATTAATCGCATCCAAAATAAAAGTTTTTGTGTACATAATATATGCGTGTATACTGTGTATATTTATTATGTATATATAAATACAAACACATGCATGTATATATTTAAGAAAAATATGTTATGTTTATATATTAAATATATTTATATATAATATAAAATATAAGAATATGAATATATAAATGTATAAACATGTAAATATTTTCAAAATATATACTGTATGTGTGTGTATTTCTATATACATAATAAATATACACATTACACATACATATATAATGTAAACAAAAACCTTTACTTTGGAAGCGACTAATCGCGATTAATCGTTTGACAGCACTAGAAAAATGTTAACAATTTGAAATTACTGGAATTATTATTAGGAATTTCACAGTTTAAGCTTTAAAGATTTTCAAAGAAAAAAATTTTCAATATTGATAATGTATAGAGTGTGTTAATGTATATGATTAATATATCAACTCAGGAAACTAGATGAAATAAAATGAACCTTTGACGTTCTCTTGATTTGTGATTACATGAAAGTGCAATAATTCCGATTAAATGTAAAATAAATTTCTCACATAAGAACAATCGTGATTAGTAATCACAATATAATCATTTGCAGAGTAAAACAAAATGTTAACCATTATCATGCATCCCTAT